TGTCTCATTTTAGTCAGGATAGGCTAGATGGTGCGCTGGTAACAAATGACCCCACATCTCAGTGGCTCTAAGCAACAAACAGCCATTTCTCACTGACATGATGCCCTCAGTACAGCTCTTCAGGGAAGGGACCTTCAATCCAAGGAGTGCTCTGTCATCATTCCAACAGCAGACTGTGGGATCTGCTGCATGGGGAGAGTGTGTAAATTGTGCACCATTCAGGAACACTCTGCCTGGAAGTGACACCCTTCATGTTGCTCATGCTTTGCTGGCTAGAGGGTGTTACATTGCCACCTCTACCTTCAGGCAAGAGTAGGACAGTGGACTCCTTCCCTGAGCCTTTAGGAAAGGAAACAGGTATATATGTGGATCTCTGTGCAACAAACCAGCAATGTAGTCATTTTTCTATTTTACACAAGAAGAAACAGGCTGAGCAGCTTCACTTACATAACTTGTAGGGGGAGAGGTGGGATTTAAACTGGGGAAGGCTGACTGCAAAGCCTTTGCTGTTTCCTGTGTATCACTCCCTGTGGTGCATGTGAGATGGCTGTGTCACAAGGTAGGAAGCTGCAGCCTGGCAATCAGAGCATGGGTAATGGGCTGTGAACTGTCAGAGGAAGGAGAGATCACATCCAGTTGGAGAAATCCAGGTGGCCTTCAATGGGGAGGTGGCACTTGCCTCTAGATGGTGGATAGGTCAGATTTGGATGTTTAGAGATATTTATTCTTTCGGTTAGTCAGTTATTCCTCTGGGTCTCTTGTGCCTGGAGAACCAACTGTTTAGAAATCATTTAGTCACACTGCACCCTCACTAGAGAGGTCTGGTGTAATGAGGGTGGGTGGGAGCCAGTTCTGAACAGTGTTTGACCAAGGAGTGTTCCTGGAGTGGGCCCTGGGGAGAAATTTGATGCAGTGGGCAATTAGGAACTGAATTTTATTGCAGATTTTGTGTACCCTTCCTCCTTCTGGCTCCCTCCTTCCTCCTCCCCTTTCCCTTTCCTTCCCTGGCCACTCCTCCCCTCCCCCTTCCCCGGTGCTGAGGGCTGGGAAAGGGGAGGAGGCAGACACAGCTGGGCCTCCCTGGGGGTCTCCCAGCATAAGGATGGGAGGGATAATGTTGCAGGGCCCCAGGGTCCCAGTGTTTGCCTAGAAACTCAAGAAGAAACCTCCAGTGTGAGGCAGAGTGACCCCTTGGAGGGGTGTGGATAACTGGAGTCAAAGAAAATAAACCAGCCACGGGGAGCAGGCAGGACGCCTGAAGGCAGCCAGGGCGGCCAGGCCTGCTGCGGAGAGGGGCGCGGGGCCTCTGCTCCGTGGGCTCCAGGCCCTGCGGCCTGGGGCAGCTGGTCCCTCGGGCTCACCCAGCCGCCTGCACCTGGCCTGGCGCACAGCTGTGCTCCAGCGAGCTGCCCCACCAGCAGCCAGTTTCCGTCAGAGCAGCTACAGCGGAAGTTGGCGCTTCGCTGATTTTCCTGCTTCTCCTCCCCCACTCAGTGAGAACTTGAGGTTAGGGGACAGACCATGCCAGCTCCGGGAGGGTGTGGATGAACCGAGGACTGAGAGGAGCTGGGAGCCACCCTCACATGAGGCTGAGGCTCCGCCATACCCCTTGTCCTTCCAAATTCTCAGGCTGCAGCAAAGGGCCTGAGGTCTCTTCTTGGAGGAACTGTTGTGTCTTCCTGGGGCTCAGAGAGGAGTGCCACTGTGTCTGTGTTCTACAGTATGTCCCGTCTTTCCTTCTATGGCATCAAAGGATCTCAGTGCTGGAAGGGATGGGGGTGGTTTACCAAGGCCAATGGTTGCTAGACCTGCTGATGGTCACCTAGGAAGCTTTTAAAAAGGCTCATTCCAGGATTTGAGCCCAGAAGTTCTGACTTAGAAGTTCTGACCTGGCCGCAGGTTCCCTGGGGCCACACCCAGAGTGCCTCAGTGACTTGTGCTTGGCCACCACCCTTTCTCCTGTGAATTGATCGTTCTCATTAAGGGGACTGCTCTCAACACCTGCTGGGAGGATCAGCCTTGGTTTATTGCACTCTGTGAGCACTTGCCAGTTCATTGGGCCCAAGTCACCCCAAACCCCACACCCAGCCAGGAGTGGATTTCTGCACCAGCTATGTTCCATTTGATCCAGGAAAGGAGACTTTCCCCAGGTGGGTGACCAAGGTGTTTGTAGGCCAAAGCGGAGAGGAGAGCCTGGGAGCCAGAAACATGGTTCCCAGCACTCCAGATGCCTGTGCTTGACAGACAGGAAGGGCTGCAGGAAGCGTGGGCCATCCCTCCTCCAATATAAGAGCCACCATTGTAGTGTGTGTTATTACACACACACACACACACACACACACACACACACACACACACTCCAGACACTGTCTTCTGGAGACACACCCAGAGTATCTCTCCAGGAAAACATTTTTATCTTCATTTCTGAATTTCAAGAAAAGCTTCACAAAAAGTGATGGCTTTGCTCCAGGTGTGGACTCTACTCCTATAGCATCTCATGGGCTTGTTTTTTTGTTCTACCAGGGAGGCAGAGGGTGCAGGGTGGACCTTCTCCTGCACTCACAGAGCACATTGAGCTCAGAGGGCCTGTGGTTCTGAGTTTCTGGTGGTAAAGAGCTAGGATATGTGGACTGTGTTCTCACATTATGCAGACAAAAGTCATGCATATGTGTCCAAGTGTGCACATATGTATAATATGTCATGAGTGTGTATATACACACAGCTGGCCCTCCATATCCGTGTGTTCTTCATCCAGCGTTTTAACATGGATTTAAAAAAAAATCAAGAAATGCATTTGTATTGAACGTGTAAAGACATTTTTTCCTGTCATTTCCCCCTAAACAAGATAGTATAAAAGTATTTATGTAACATTCACATCTTATTAGGTACTAGAGATGGTTTAAACTATATGGAGGGTATGTGAAAGTTATATACAAATATGCAATTCTATCTATCTATCTATCTATCTATCTACCATCTAGCTTTTGAAATAGGATATTGCTATGTTGCCCAGGTCAGTCTTGAGCTCCAGAGCTCAAGCCATCCTCCTATCTCAGTCTTCTGAGTAGTGGGGACTACAGGCACATGCCACTGCACTTGGCAGCTACTATGCCAATTTATATCTCCTGAAATGATCTTTTTTTTCCTGGTATGGGGGACCAAACACAGGGCTTTCCATATGCTAGGCTAGCTCTCTACCACGGAACCACATCTCCAGTATATATAAGAGACTTGATCATGCAAGGATTTTGGTACCTGTGGGGTCCTAGAACTAGCCTCCCCACATATTAAGGGTGACTATATATGCAGAGAGGAAGAGAGAGCACACATAATCGGTGAGGCAAGTAGGGTGAATGCTAACTATAGTGGCTCGTCTGACTAAAACACATAGGTGTTCTTTGTACTATTTTTATTTTTGTAATGTTTTGCAATTTTAAATTTATTTCTGAATAAAAGTATTTAAAGGTGTATGTTTTATTCAAAGACAGGAGGCAGTCTGAGTCTGTGGAGTACTTATCCATGGAAGTCCTACTTGTCACATTATCATCTATGCATTTTATTTTTTATTTTTTAAAAAGGGCTAGTGGTTAGTCAGTGGTACAGAGCCTCTTGATATGTGTGGTGGGGGAGAACTTGGATGTGGCCTCTGGTCTTTTTTTTTTTTTTTTGTACCAGGGATTGAACCAAGGGGTGCTTTACTGCTGAGCTACATCCTCAGTCCTTTTTGTTCTTTATTTTGGCATAGGGTCTCACTAAGTTGTGTAGGGCTTTACTAGTTGCTAAAGCTGACCTCAAACTTGCAATCTTCCTGCCTCAGCCTGCCAAGTTATGGGGATTACAGACGTGTGACACCATGCTGAAACATTTATGTATTTTAAGATTGACTTAAAATACAGGGCTCATATGCAAACTTCCCTGGCCTCCCAGTTCATGTACCCTGATTTCATGTATTTTTCCTTCCACTTATTCTGACAGGTAGAAGTGAATTATTTTTAATTTAATGTGTTTCTCCTGCTGGACTATAAGTTTCATGTAGACAGGACCTTGTCTGTCTTATTCCTGGATGAATCCCAAGAGCGAAGCACAGCTGGAATATCATATGGGTTCAAGGAACATTTGTTGAAAGAATAACGAATGAGTGAATGAATGACATTGTGGGCCACAGATGCACATAGGTGGACACACATGTGCAAACAAGCTTATGTCCTATTTTCTTAGCTCTATTGCTCTGTTCGGCAGTTAGACTGGAGATGCCAGGATTTGGAGGGCAGCTGGCAGGGTGGCATCATGCCTCTGGAAATGAAATCCTGGGAATGAATGACATCCTTTGGGAACAGAGGAGGATGCCCCTTCCCAGCCAGGGCCCCCTTCTCCTCCCGACCTCGAACTCAGAGGCTCTTCCGGGGGAGAAATGATGCTCTTGTGGCAGGTGGCACAGGCATCCCAGAGACAGCGGGCTGTGAGGGGGGCAGGGATGCTGAGTGGAAGCTACTGCCTTTCTGGAAACAAAAGAGCCCTTTAGAGTCACTCGGTGTCATGTCTTCCTGCCCTGGGCTTCTGCCAAGCTTCCCTCTTCCTATTGTGGAGCAGCGGCAACACCACAAATCTGACCTGCATTTGCTCCTGATGCAAAGCCATGGGGCGTGAGGCAAATGGGTGCAGGAGCAAAGGGCGGGGCCGGCCTCATGGCCAAAGTGTGCTCATCAACAGAGAAGTTTTTGTTTTAATCTTTGAAAAACCTAATGCATCTACGTATTCAAAATTGAAAAAGCATAAAAACCCATGCCCTTAAATGCCCCCTCTCCCACTGCCCTCTATCCATCCACTTGCCCTTGATGATGTTCTTAGTTTCTTAGGATCCCTTCATGGAGAGTTCAGATATACATGCAAGCATAGAATTCCATACATGCTGCCTTGTTCACTTATTGATAGACTTTGTCTTTTCTATAAGTGTTCATAAAAAGAATGTCCTTGATTCAGTTTTGCTTTTGTCTGCATAGTATTCCACAGTGTCAATGTCCTAAGGAAAATGCCCTGCACAACTAAGGAGCCAGACCAGCCTCTATCTATGAGGAGCCCTTGGTTCCCCAAGGGTGGTGAAGAGTATTGAGGAGACATCAGGAATCCTAGGCCCATACTGTTCTTCAGCGTTGAAATACGACTGTCAAAATTGACATGTGTGATAAAGGTAAAATGCAAACTGGATTTTGAAGATTTCACTTACAAATGTAAAGTATCTTATGCATGATTTTTGTATCATTATAAATCAGGACAATGATATTTTGACTATATTGGTTAAATAAAATATACCATGGGAATAAATTCTACTGGCTTTTTTTTTTCTTTTTCAAAATGTAGCTACTAGAAAATTCTAAATGATGTATGTATGGGGCCAGCATATTTCCATTGGAGCCTGCTTCCCAGGAGACTTAGAGCCCACGACAGAGCTGAGGGTGGGAGGCCCCTGGAGCAGGAGGGGGAAGGCAAAGGAATAGGAAGGAGCTGCCTGGGCTGGGTCAGGAGTTCTTCTCTCCTCCCGTCTCACAGCAACATGCTGGATGATCCCAGGAACCTCCTTACCCTTGTTTCCTCCTGTGTGCGAATGTCAGGGAGGATCAGAGAAAGTCCACGAGGGCTGGGTTCCTCTGTTCTGTCCACAGCTGGAAAAACTCCTGACCTGGAGTGGGTGCTTGCTGAGTGAATGAATGAATGTAGGAAATAAAAGGGGGAAATTTGAGTTTTTTCTTTCCAGGGAAGTGAAGTGTAGGAATCATGGAAGTATTAGGATTAGAGGCCCCTCAAGATTGTAAAGATACCTCCCTGTATGAAACCAAGAATCAGAATAAAGGATGAAGTGACTGGCACTGGGCCAAGAGGTATTGATGGCAGAACCAGGGCCACCCCCAGTTTCTTCACTGACACAATCACTGAGAATAAGGGTTGTTAGAAATTCTTATCTGCTCTTGGTACTATCTGCTGCAAACAGGGCCTGGCCCGGGAAGCCTCCTTCCCTTCTGCCCATTTTAGGGTGGATAATGATTCTTCTGTGTGGCCTGAGGCATCAGGTCTGATGAAGAATGGGCCCAACAGGAACCTACTCAGACCAAGGCTCAGCGTTTTCCAGGACACTCCCTTCAGCACCAGGACCCAGACAGAGGCCCACCATCTCCCCAGACCTCCAGGGCCTGGGGCCTCTTCTGCCCTGGCCTGGAGAAGCTGGAGTCCACCCCAGGGGAGGTAGAGAGGAGCCGGTGGCAGGTTGGGCTCAGCAGCTAGCAGTCCCTAAATCATTCACGCTGGGGTGGGGGAGGCTGCGGAGGGGATTTTCATAGATTATATTGAAAGAATTACAATGGCGAGGGAAAAGAGCCTAGTTCCCACAGTGTCCGGTCACTCCTGTGGGGGGCTGTGGGAGCCGGGTCTGGCTGCCTCTTTCTCTCCAGGGCAGCAGCACACAGTTTTTAATAATTAAGTAACTTTAATTGTCCTGGGAAAGCTGAGCTTGCCTTGGGGCACACTGCACAAACTCATAATTAATGTTACCAAGAGAGATTAGCAAAGGAGAACTGAGAAATGATTCACTTTTTAAAAAGCGCCTTGCTGTTAAGCCTTGTTATCCTTAGTTTAGAACCTCATTTATCTGCTTTGGGGAGAGAGAGAGAGAGGGGAAAAAAAAGCACCCAGCTAATGCATGTGAAATGAAAACTCCACGCCTTTGTAATGTGGTTTAGAAAACATCAGACCAGGAAAATGTTGCCATTTATTGATCCATTCTGGTGACTGAGGGAAAATTTAAGACTGGAATATAATGAATAAATAATAATAATAATACCTTAATAACAACTCATGCTTCTTGATGCCATCTTTGTTGCTTAGAAATTGTCTTAATTTGGGATTTTTAAAAATAATTTTCTCTCCTTTTTTTTTTTTTTGAAAGATGAATCAAATTCTGTGTCATTTTCAATGATTATATATAAATTGATACTAGGGAAGTGTCTGGCACTTCCAGGTTCAGGGAATACTTGATGAATTCATGAGCACATGAATGAAAGAGAGAAGGACCTCAAAAAGGAAAGGTTGTCCTTCTACAGCAATCCATGGGCACTATGGAGGGCAAGACCAGAAAATCCTGAGGGAGAGGTTTGTGATGGGGAAAGGAGGGTAGACAGAGAAACAGGTGGCAGTGGTGTGTGTATTGGGGGAGGACTTTGGCAGTAATGATAGAGCCAGGGGTGGGAGGAGAGGCCTCGGAAATTAGGAGTGGGGATAAGGGCTAAGATCCTCATGCATAATCAGCCATCTATAAATAGTACACGATTGATTGCCCTAAACTGGTAGGTGTGCTTCCTGATCAAGTCCCAGTGTCTCCACAGCACTGCGCTGTTTTTTTTCTTCCATACCAGACAACAAATTTGACTGAATCCCTCTGATGTTCTGGGTGCTGATTTTAACGTGGACATAGATGAAGAGACTGTGGCTCTATACCAGAATATCTGACACCCCTCTCTGGGCACCTCGGTTTCTTCACGTGTAAGATGGGATGATAGAATGCCACATGAATGTCCGGGAAGGTGGAAGTCCATAGTATGAGTTCCTGAAGTAATTTTTTTCCAGAGAACTCCGTGGAGGAATTTTTTGGACAGGTGCTTCTTTTCTTTGGGCATTTCCGTGGCCTGGGTCCTACCCAGGGTACTGTTCTCATCCAGGGGCTAGTTAGGTGCCCCACTAGGTATGGCTCAGGTGGCTCCTCCTCCTGAGTCCTGGGGTGGGGGCTGAGAAGCAGTTTGTCCCAACTTTCCTGAGATTGCTGTTCTGTGGCCTCTCTGTGGAGAGGCTGGTGAGCGAACAGGAAGGAGGTGGTGGCCTTCAGCTCAAGGAATGAGTCCTCACAGGATATTACGTAGGAATAGACGACTCACAGAGACTGCCAGCTGTTGAAGGCACACAGCCCTTCTCCTCCTGGTGCTTCCCTGTTACCTCAGGCAAGTGTGGAGGTCTGAGCCACGGTGGCCTGGAGTGGGGTGGGTGGGAAGGTGAGGTATCAAGGATATCCCAGTCCCTGAGGTTTTCCACAGGGAGGCTCCTGAGCACCTGGAAATCAAGACACTGAGGTGGCCAATGCAGACCCACAGGTGGAGAGGACGGGGTTCAGGACTGGTTGGGCTCAGGGACATGAATCAGATCACTTTCTTCCAAGGGAAGTTGGCTAGGTAGTGGCTATGGTCAGAGAAAGCATACTCTAATAATAATGAGTGTTACTAATAATAACAATGGCCCTCCAAACCATTCCGAACACTAGATGTTATGTGTATGTCCATGTATGTGGAAGTGTGTGTATGTCCATGCTCAAAAGGGTAGCAAACAATTCATACTGTCTTTATACCTTGATTTCTTGCTCATAAAACTATATCATGGGACTAGCTCCATATCAGAATATACAAAGTGGTGCCAATGTTTCAATGGTCAACTAGCGCTTCATTTTATTTAACCACTGTTTTTAGCAGTACTAATAGACATTGGGGCACTTTATCCTTTGGTCATTCCTGGGTTTCCTTAAAAATCTGAGCCTTCACATTATCTGTTAACATATTTGAGTGCAGCAGAAACTTCGGGGGGACAGATTATTGAGAAATGAATGTTCTACCCTAGGTCTATTACCTGTTTGATTTGTTCATCCCTGCACCTCAGTTTTGCCATCTGTCCAGCAGGGACTTTGGGCTGTATCTGGTATCCCTTGTGCCTTGCAGGATGTCTGTCTCCAGTCCCTTGAGTCTCCCCAAACCCCAGATGCGGCGGAGCGATCACTTCACAGAGGGTCACCCCGGCTGAGCTGTGTGTGGGTGGGGAGGCAGGCTGGGTGACCCGGTGCGCCTCTCCTGTCTCATGATGCAATGGTGAACCCGGGCAAGTTTGGCCTTGCTCTCCTTGGGATCCAGCGTGATTCAGGCCGGTAGCGTGGCTTCCCCACCAGCCAAGGAGCTGCAAGGTAACTTTCCTGGCAAGAGCTCCCAGAATGTCTGATTACTCACCTGTTTTGCAACCACAGCAAACTCCCAGCAAGAAAAGGAGGCAGCTAGCGTGGCTTCCTTCCTGAATTAATGACTTCAGCCTTATGAATGACTAATCAGTTCACCGCGGAGCAGAACTGGGTGGTTGGGTTGGGGTTGGGGGTGGCAGCGAGGTGCCAGGTTGTGGGCCGTGCTTTCACCCTTTCTGTCCTCTGCTTGAATGCCTTTGGGTCCTAGTGCTCTCTTTTTAGGGGTCAAAACTGAGGCCAGACATCCTCCCTAAACTCCCAGGGCCTGTTGACCTGGAAATTGTTGCTCTCAGCTGATTGCAAACTTCCTCTCCAACCTTAGCTTCAGTCAGGCAGAGGGAAAGCTAACTACTGAGGGAGAAATCCAAGGTGAGAGGGCTACATAAATTTTATATAATAGATTCTGTGTTGTACCTAAGAGATTTTTGAAATTAACCTTTTCCTGGGAGAAGGTTTACAGGCAGTCAGAACTATTTAAAGGAGAAGTTTAAGACCAGAACTATGGATCTGGGACTTCTTCAAGAACGGCAGTGCTACCTTGGCTGGTTTCTTTGCCTCTCTTATTTCGGACAACTCATTGTAGACTCTAAGATGAATGGGGACTGGAAGGAATGCATCTTATTTAAAGCAAATTCTCTAATGCAAATCAAAACTACACTGAGATTCCATCTCACTCTAGTCAGAATGGCAATTATTAAGAATACAAGTAACAATAAATGTTGGCAGGGATGTGGGAAAAAGGGTCCACTCATACTTTGCTGGTGGGACTGCAAATTGTTGCAACCACTCTGGAAAGCAGTATGGAAATTCCTCAGAAAATGTGGAATGGACCCGCCATTTGACCCAGTTAAGCCATTCCTCAGCATACACTCAAAGGACTTAAAATCTGCCTACTACAGTGACACAGCCACATCAATGTTTACGGCAGCTCAATTCACAATAGCTAAGCTATGGAACCAACCTAGATGCTCTTCAACAGATGAATGAATAAAGAAAATGTGGTACATATATACAAAGGAATATTACTCAGCCACAAAGAGGAATGAAATCATGGCATTTGCTGGTAAATGTGGAGGCTCTCATGCTAAGTGAAATAAACCAATCTCCCAAAACCAAGGGCCAAATGTTCTCTCTAATATGTAGATATCGTAATAAGGGGTCGGGGTGGGAGGGAAGAATTGAAGTTCATGGATTAGAGGAATGAAGGGAAGAGACGGGGGATGGAAATAGGAAAGACAGTAGAATGAATCAGACGTAACTTTTCTATGTTCATATATGAATTCAT